TTGTGTATGTTTAACTATATATAAAATTTTTGCCTGGTTCTCGGGCTGTTAAAGCATTTATTTATTATTATTAAGCATTTCTATTTATGTTGACACAAGATTGTATGTTGCCAGGTGACTACTCTTCAAAATGGATTTAACTTAACATTTATTAGTAGTCTTCTAGTGTCCCACATTTATTATGATCTTTTAACCAGGTTTGGAATAGACTTTTTTTTCTTTAAAGTAGGGCAGCTTCAGTCTTATTTTGGCTTAAAAGTCATTTTTATTGGCCTGTTTCTTTTGCCTGACGGCTTTATAAGCTTCATAACAACGCCAGTAAAATGACTATTTCTGTGAGAATGAAGATTGATTGATTTAAAAAATCACATAATAAGTATTTAACTGTTGTTCATGTTTTATCCACTCTACCAAATGTAGGCTTGGACATAGTCCCTTCCTTAAGGCAAAACCTGCGTTATGTTATCTAGATGCCAGTATTCATGGATTAGGCTTGCTAATATTGCATAGACAAAGGCATAATTAAATCATTATAAATAGTTAAAGTATAATAAATTAAAAGTTTTAAAATAAAGGAAACAATTTTGCAAAGCTGAATGTGCAAGTCAAGTTGCTTAGATCAAAAATGATCATAGGGGCTGGCCTGGTGGTGTAGCAGTTAAGTGAGCACGCTCTGCTTAGGCGGCCCGGGGTTCGCGGGTTCAGATCCCGGTTGTGGACAGATGCACTGCTTGTCAAGCCATGTCGGGGCGGTGTCCCATATAAAGGAGAGGAAGACAGGCACAGATGTTAGCCTGGGGCCAATCTTTCTCAGCAAAAAGAGGAGGATTGGCATAGGATGTTAGTTCAGGGCTAATCTGCCTCACACACACACACAAAAAATCTCTCTGTCTTCTCAAAAATCAACTTTTTTTTTTTTCTTGAAAGAGTGGCCCTGAGCTAACATCTGTTGCCTGTCTTCCTCCATTTTTTCCTTTTTTCCTCCCCAAAACCCTAGCAGAAAGTTGTTTGTCATAGTTGTCCTTCTAGTTGCTTTATGTGGGAGGCCGCCTCAGCATGGCACCATGAGTGGTGCATAGGGCCAGGATCTAAACTGGCAAACCCTGGGCCGTGGAAGCGGAACGCGCAAACTTAACTGCTACGCTGCCAGGCCGGCTCTAAAAATCAACTTATTTTTAACTTAATCTAAATAAAAATTTAGATTTTGTTTTATTGTTTTGAGAAAGGAATATTGTCCCAAAATCACATGAAAAATGAAGAGTATGATGCTTGGCAGTCACCGCTGGCCAGTCATGGAAGTTCCGTAAAATGGAGATCACAGGGAACGTCGGTGTTTCAAAAACCATCTCTATTGGCTCTGAGGAATAGGTCAGTGGAGGTCATGATTGCTATTAGGGAATCCTAGACAATTGGCATACATTAACTTAAACTATCTTGTTTTCAGCAAGAGTTCAACTTTGTAATAAGCAAAGTAGCTTTCAAAAATTATAAATTAGATCTATATCAAAAGGTACAGCCTCCATTTTGACAAATATTAGTTTTTAGAATTGATAATTTATTTCATAGCCTTCTTTGTTTACAGATAGTCTGTCGAGAACAAATACTTGTTAGTGGGTAATTTTCTTTGACAGTGTGTTTTAAAGAATATGAAGTGAATAAATGAGTGCCAAATATTGCTTACGTTTTGTTTTAATAATTTTTGTATAAAAAAGAGCCTCAAATTATAATTAGAGTTAACAGTTGTTGAATCTTAAGTGGAAGATATATTGGGTGATTGCCCTACCTCATCTTTTCTGTATATTTGAAAATTTTCGTGATGAAAAGTTGAAGAAGATTTTAATTCAAGATAATGAAGAGCTTCTGGTAACTGCTTATCTTTATTGACCACCGGTGGGCAATAAACATCTCTGCGTGTCTTCTAGGTGTAGATCCTGTGGTAGATATAGAGACACTTAAGGCATGATTTCTTCAAGAAGTTTTGTATTACATGTAAGGTAACAGAATTTTTACACAAATGATATGTGTTAGCAGAGTGAGTAGTATAGTGAAGTAGTAGAAGGAAAACACAAATTAGAAATTAGAGGATAGTCTATTCTGATGAAAGATTTTGAGGTACAGGCTGAGAGTTTTCTCTTAGGAAGTCAGTATGAGGCCTAATGGGTTAGTTAATTAGTCACAACTGTGTTGACATTGGTTAATTTTAAATAACTGATTGGAACAAAGGGAAAATATTTTTAAGATAGTGGATAACCTATTCTGACCTACGTGGGAATCTTTCATCTTTGACCTAAAACAATGAATAAATGCCTGAGAGAGAGAAGTATTTTTTTTTGGTGGGAAAGATTCGCTCTGAGCTAACATCTGATGCCCATCTTCCTCTTTTTGCTTGAGGAAGATTGTCCCTGAGCTAACATTGGTGCCAGTCTTTCTCTATTTTGCATATGGCACGCCGCCACAGCGTGGCTTGATGAACGGTGTGTAGATCTTCACCTGGGTTTGAACCAGCAAACTGCAGCCCGCCAAAGCGGAGTGCACAAACTTAACCACTATGCCACTGGGCCGGCCCCGAGAGAGAGAATTTTATGTTGTTTCTTTTTCTTTGTGAACTGTAGTGTTCCTCCTTAAGAGTGGTGAAACTGCAAGAGCTCAAGAGCCATTTCATGTGATCTTTTTTTAGACTTAAAACATCTTGAAAAAATAAACACATTTAAAGTAGATGCATTTATAAAATGTGTTATAGTGGAACACTTACTAAAATAAGATTGTGTGCACGAATAGTGCGAATAGGAACTTGAACTTCTAGGTCATTTGTTTTTAGTTCACATTAATATTACATAATGCTCTTACATAATGCTCTTAGCTCCCGTTTGTCCTGTGTCTCATAATGATCAAAAAAGCCGTGATTGTGTATTTACATATGAGTGCTATTTAAAGCTCTCACTCAAAGGATTGTTTTCCTGAAGGCATATGTTTTACCGGGGTGTTCCATATTTATTGGCCCTGTGTTATTCCTGGGGAGACAAAATGGTGTATTGGTTAAGAATGTGGTCCCTAGAGCTAGACTGACTGGGTTTGAATCTTGATTCTTCATCTTACCAATTGTGAGATCTTGGATTATACATTTATCTTTTCCACAATGTTCTCTTCTGTGAAGTGAGGAAAATAACTTGTCTTGTAAGGTTGCTGTGAGGAATGGAATAATTTCTAATAAATACACATATGCTTAGGGAATATTCAGATTGAGTCACATATGCTTAGGGAATATTCAGATTGAGTTACTAAACAGTCCCTTTATGTTATCATTGTCAGAGAGTCAATCCTCTAAAATCCTTAACTCATTTATATACATATAAGGAGCCTCCAACTTAAAACAAGTTGTGTTTTAGAAATTTGTTGGTTTGGAATTCTGCAGTGAATCTCTTTTAGTTGATTAGGTTGCCAGGCTAACTTGTGAAAAGAGTAACCATGATTTAGCAAAAATAATTAGAAGAGAAGAAATAAAATGAAAAGATACTGTCTTGGATATTGATAGTTGAGTAGTAATAGGTTTTTTTAAAGAATTGTCTTTTATTTTTATTTATTTATTTTTTGTGAGGAAGATCAGACCTGAGCTAACATCCATGCCAATCCTCCTCTTTTTGCTGAAAAAGACTGGCTCTGAGCTAACATCTATTGCCAATCCTCCTTTTTTTCTCCAAAGCCCCAGTAGGTAGTTGCATGTCATAGTTGCGCATCTTTCTAGTTGCTGTATGTGGGACGCTGCCTCAGCATGGCCGGAGAAACGGTGCATCGGTGCGTGCCCGGGATCCGAACCTGGGCCGCCAGTAGTGAAGCGCTCGCACTTAACTGCTAAGCCACGGGGCCAGCCCCAATAGGTTTAATTAGAGACTTTTGAAAGAGACTTTTATAGAAATTCTGAAAGGGTCATTCAGAATCTTTTGAAGAATTTTGGAAGGCTAGCATTGATTCTTTGCTAACTTTTGCTTCTGGTTTTATCAGTGTTCTTGGCATTTATGATGAAGATCTAACATCACTGATGTATTACGAATTGGTAATACATCAGCTATTAATATAGCTATTTTTTGAGTGGTTTGTTAAGATTGGATAATGGAATAGGAACTATTTTCCCTTGAGTGAGTGAGAAAGAATGAAAGGAAGAAGATAGTAAAGGAGGATGTGTGCTTTCAATAGTGAAAACTAAGCTGTGAAGGATGTCAAAGAGAGCAATCAGGGAGCAGCTTCTTATACTGGTAACTATTCCCAGTTACTACCCATAACAAGATGGGGTTAGGGTGGAAGGAGAGAGTATAGGTTATTTGTTTGTAAAAGATGCTTACAAATTGGGTTTTTCTATAAACAAGCACTCTGACATATACAACGTTTCTTTCAAAAAGCATTTCAAGGTGTTGTATTATACTCTGGGGTTACCATGATGAAGAGCATTTTGAATTTTTAAACATTTTAACTTTTATTTGAATTCTGGTTAAATAAGAGATTACAACCCAGAGGACAACACATTATACACAGTTTATGTGTACCTCTAACACCAGAGTTCAAAGACGGAGATTTTCCTGTGTTCTCCTTAGATGAGGATTTTGGGTCTCATACCTTTAAAAATACAGTCATGTGCTGCATAATGTTTCCATCAACGATGGACTGCATATACGATGGTTATCCCATGCCACGTAGCCTAGGTGTATGAGTATGCTATACAGTCTAGATTTCTGTAAGTATGTTCTATGATGTTCGTGCAATGACAAAATCACCTAAGGACGCATTTCTCAGAACATATCCCTGTTGTTAAGCGATGCATGGCTGAATTTAGATTCACTAATCATGAAGAAACCAACTTTTTTTGATATCAGAGAAGTATTACAATAGTGCTAAAATTTCCGTGGCATTAGTTTTTAGTTATTTCTATTTGTAAACTGTGGTGACACTCAAAATTTTATTAGTTTTATATATTCTTGATTAAAATTACTTGACAATTCTTTTATTAGGAAGTGGCTGTTTTTGTCTTTGATAAAAAGCTGATTGACAAATATCAAAAATTTGAAAAGGATCAAATCATCGATTCTCTAAAACGAGGAGTCCAACAGTTAACTCGACTACGACACCCTCGACTTCTTACTGTCCAACATCCTTTAGAAGAATCCAGGTAAATTTCTATAAAAACTTACATAAGAAACTCTTGAACAAATCGTTAAAAGTAACTTTATATTTGAAATCTGTCTATATAGTATATTGTCACTGAGAAGTTCTTATAAACTTAATGTTGAGTTCTTATGGATTAGTTATTCCCTAAGCTTTATTTGCATATTCTCTATATATGTCTCTTTTTGAAATATTAATAAAAGTTTTCTTCCTATTTGCTGTGAGTCTCTATTTGCTTGTTCTATGCTCAGCACTACCATAGTCAAAATGGAAGATGCAAGAGAAGTATAGAATACAGTCTCTGCCTGAAAGTAGCTGTCCTTGTTAATTTGCTAGAATTTTTTGTCCCCTTTTCACTGATTCAATATTTGGGGGCTATTTTTATGTGTGTTTCAGATACTGTTCTAGACATTTAACCTACTATGCCTAGCATGTCAGTCTATAGCCCTCAGTCATTCTACCATCTATTTTTCTCAAGGGTGAGTTTGGGACTTAGCTAAGAATTACAATAAAATGAAATTTACGTTGTGTAATCTTAACTGGATCTTCAAGCCTGTGGTGCTTTAACTGTTCTTTTAGATACCCTAGCTATGTAAATCTTCTTCCACATTACTCATAACCCCTAATTTATTCCTTTCTTCCTTCTTACTTAGTAGACTGTATTCCCCTCTCTTAATTCAGAAGATCTTAATCAAATGGTTTGCCAGTTGTGTTCTGTGGACCCTAGGATTTTAAGGATAAGGGAGGTGCAGGCAGGTGGAGGAACAGAGGTGGCAGGATTCCAGGCTTCCCATCTCCCTTCAACCAGGACAGTTTTGCTTTTATCTATTTTGTATATTGGATTTCTGCATAATTCTTACTTTGGAATCTTCAATAACTCACTGTCACTTACCTCCTTCCCTAAAGGCTACAAGATCCTTTCTTTCAACCTAAAAGAAAAAAACCTAATGTTTACCGTGTGAAAAACTGTACTAAATGCTTTACATTTGTTTACTCATTTAATTTTCACAATTATACTGAAGAACTGAGGATCAGAGACATTGCTTAAGCCACATAGTTATGGCACCCTGATTCCTGAGCCTGTGGTCTTTTTTTCTTCACTGTACCATGCTGTGCCTACCCAGAAATATGCTCGTATGTCTCTTATCATAATAATATTTTTATTGCCCTTCTTTTCGTGAATATACCCAGAAGAAGACTATAGTTGTTGTCTCTTATATAACACATGCTGTTGTGTACCCTCTCTCCCAAATTGGAATAAGTTTTGTTTGCAACTCTTGTCTTGTGCTTTCCTGACTCCATCCATATTTGTTTGTGCTATTTCCTCTGGGGTGTTTTCTATCAGTGTCTGTAGTGTCACCTATCAGAATCCTACCCATCTTTGTTATTTTAACTTGTATCAACATATGTTATATTTCATCATTACATTTTAAGTCTCTTGAGGGGAGAAGGACCGATGTTTTCTCTGTCTCTACAGCTTATTTTATAGTGATTTAAATATAATAGAACTAGGGATTTATTGGCAATCATGAAGACAGACAGTTCAAAGATTACTTTAAGGCATCTTCATTGTTAGGTTGTAAAAATTGCAATAGCATTGATAGAAATAGGAACACTTTAGGGAAGGAAGAAGTAACTTCCAGTTTTTTATTTTTTATTACAAAATTTTTTTATTGATGTCATAATAGTTTATAACATTGTGAGATTCCAGTTGTACATTATTATTTGTCAGTCACCATGTAAATGCGCCCCTTCACCCCTTGTGCCCACCCTGGTAACCACCAAAGTGTTCTCTCTGTCCGTGTGTTAGTTTATATTCCACATATGAGAGAGGTCATACAGTGTTTGTCTTTCTCTGTCTGGCTTGTTTCACTTACATAATACCCTCCAGGTCTGACCATGTTGTTGCAAATGGGACGATTTTGTCTTTTTTGATGGCTGAGTGGTATTCCATTGTATATATATACCACATCTTTAGCCAACCATCTGTCGATGGACACTTGGTTTGCTTCCACTTATTGGCTGTAGTGAATAATGCTGCAATGAACATAGGGGTGCATCAGCCTCTTTGGATGGTTGATTTCAAGTTCTTTGGATAAATACCCACAAGTGGGATAGCTGGATCATAAGGTATTTCTATTTTTAATTTTTTGAGGAATCTCCATACTGTTTTCCATAGAGGCTGCACCAGTTTGCATAGCCAGCATCAGTGAATGAGGGTTCCCTTTTCTCCACATCCTCTCCAACATATGTTATTTTTTGTCTTGTTGATTATGGCCATTCTCACGAGTGTAAGGTGATATCTTAGTGTAGTTTTGATTTGCATTTCTCTAATGACTAGTGATGTTGAACATCTTTTCACATGCCTATTTGCCATCTGTATATCTTGCTTAGAGTTCATATTCTCTGCCCATTTTTTGATCAGGTTGTTTGTGTTTTTGTGGTTCAGTTGTGTGAGTTTTTTATATATTATGGAGATTAACCCCTTGTCGGATATATGATTTGCAAAATATCACTCCCAGCTGGTGGGTTGTCTTTTCATTTTGATCCTGGTTTCCTTTACCTTGCAGAAGCTCTTTAGTCTGATGAAGTCCCACTTGTTTATTTTTTGTTTTGTTTCCCTTGTTGGATTAGACACAGAGTTTGAAGAGACCCCTCTAAGACAGATGTCAAAGAATGTTCTGCCTATATTTTCTTCTAGGAGTTTTATAGTTTCAGGTCTTACCTTCAAGACTTTGATCCATTTTGAGTTAATTTTTGTGTATGCCAAAAGATAGTGGTCTACTTTCATTCTTTTGCATGTGGCTGTCCAGTTTTCCCAGTACCATTTATTGAAGAGACTTTCCTTTCACCATTTTATGTTCTTAGCTCCTTTGTTGAAGATTAGCTGTCCATATATGTGTGGTTTTATTTCTGGACTTTCAGTTTTGTTCCATTGATCTGTATGTCTGTTTTTGTATCAATACCATGCTGTTTTGATTATTACCGGTTTGTAGTATATTTTGAAGTCAGGGATCATGATGCCTCCAGCTTTGTTCTTTTTTCTTAGGATTGCTTTAGCTGTTCAGGCTCTTTGTTGCCCCATATGAATTTTAGGATGCTTTGTTCTATTTCTGTGAAAAATGTCATTGGGATTCTGATTGGGATTATATTGAGTCTGTAGATTGCTTTAGGTAGTATGGACATTTTAACTATGTTTATTCTTCCAATCCATCTGCATGGGGTATCTTTCCATTTCTTTATGTCATCATTGATTTCTTTCACTAATGTCTTATAGTTTTCATTGTATACATCTTTCACCTCCTTGGTTAAATTTGTTCCTAGATATTTTATTCTTTTTGTTGCAACTGTAAATGAGATTGTATTCTTGAGTTCTTTTTCTGTTTTTTCATTATTAGAGTATAGAAATGCAACAGATTTTTGTTAAGTTGATTTTGTACTCTGCAACTTTGCTATAGTTATTGATTATTTCTGATAGTTTTCTGATGGATTCTTTAGGGTTTTCTATATATAAAATCATGTCGTCTGCAAACAGCGAGAGTTTCACTTCTTCATTGCCTGTTTGGATTCCTTTTATTCCTTTTTCTTGCCTAATTGCTCTGGCCAGAACCTCCAGTACTATGTTGAATAAGAGTGGTGAGAGTGGGCACCCTTGTCTTGCTCCTGTTCTCGGAGCTTTCAGTTTTGCCCTGTTGAGTATGATGTTGGCTGTGGGTTAGTCATATATGCCTTTATTATGTTGAGGTACTTTCCTTCTATACCCATTTTGTTGAGAGTTTTTATCATAAATGGATGTTGGATCTTGTGAAATGCTTTCTCTGCATCTATTGAGATGATCATGTGGTTTTTATTCCTCATTTTGTTAATGTAGTATATCACACTGATTGGTTTGCAGATGTTGAACCATCCCTATGTCCCTGGTATAAATCCCACTTGATCATGGTGTATGATCTTTCTAATGTATTGCTGTATTTGGTTTGCCAATGTTTTATTGATGATTTTTGCATTGATGTTCATCAGTGATATTGGCCTGTAATTTTCCTTCTTTGTATTGTCCTTGTCTGGCTTTGGTATCAGAGTGATGTTGGCCTCGTAGAATGTGTTGGGAAGTGTTCTGTCTTCCTCTCTTTTTTGGAATAGTTTGAGAAGGATAGGTGTTCAATCTTCTTTCAATGTTTGGTAAAATTCTCCAGAGAAGCTATCTAGTCCCTGGACTTTTATTTTTTGGGAGGTTTTTTATTACTATTTCAATCTCTTTACTTGTTGTTGGTCTATTCAGATTCTCTATTTCTTCTTGATTCAGTTTTGGTAAGTTGTGTGAGTCCAAGAATTTATCCATGTCTTCTAGATTGTCCAAATTGTTGGCATATAGTTTTTCATAGTATTCTCTTATAATCCTTTTTATTTCTGTGGTATCCATTGTGATTTCTCCTCTTTCATTTCTAATTTTATTCATTTAGCCTTCTCTCTTTTTTTCTTGGTGAGTCTGGCTAAGGGATTGTCGATTTTGTTTATCTTCTCAAAGAACCAGCTCTTAGTTTCATTAATCCTTTCTACTGTTTTTTTTTGGTTTCAGTTTCATTTATTTCTGCTGTCATTTTTATTATTTCCCTCCTTCTGTTGACTTTGGGCTTTGTTTGTCCTTCTTTTTATAATTCTGTTTGGTGTAGTTTGAGATTGCTTATTTGTGATTTTTCTTGTTTGTTAAGGTGGGCTTGTATTGCCATGAATTTCCCTCTCAGGACCGCTTTTGCTGCATCCCATATGAGTTGTATGGTGTGTTTTCATTTTCATTTGTTGCCAGATATTCTTTGATTTCTCCTTTAATTTCCTCAATGATCCATTGGTTGTTCAGTAGCATGTTGTTTAGTCTCCACATCTTTGTCACTTTCCCAGCTTTTTTCTTGTAGTTGATTTCTAGTTTCATAGCATTATGGTCAGAAAAGATGCTTGTTATTATTTCAGTCTTCTTAAGTTTATAGAGATTTGCCTTGTTTCCCAACA